GCAACAAAAAACTAATATTGCTTGAAATCCTAATGTTTGCTAACAAGTATCTATGTGGGCTCCTAATGTCTGCCTACAAAGCAGCAGGGGAAGGGAACATGAGCAGGGGCTGGCATAGACATGAACTAACACTTCCCAGAAGTGGTGACATTCCTGATAAAGTTACAAGGATCACAACATGGCAAAAATGATGATTAAAAAATAAGTAGGGAAACATGAATGTGCTTATTTAAATGTCTTTCAATTATATAAGTAAGATTTGGTGACAGGTTCTCTTTGAGGATCTCATAAGTCTCAACTCGTAATGACCATTTACCAAACTACTGTAGCAACATGATCTGGGGGTGTTTTTTTTTAACTCTAGGATTTCATGAATCTCTGAGATTGGATCATCATGTATTATCATGACAAAGTTGGCAAGAAAATGGCCTAGCAATTGAAAAGTAATCTGAATAAAGTCAGATTTTAGAAACTATAATCCAGAAAAATACCTCTGATTAAAATCATTTTAATTGCCATACTTCTGTGCAATTGAAAGTTGTGCTTTATTGTAGATAGAGCTTACCATTTAGATCTAAACTGAAGCAATCCAGGATAATTAGTTTTTAGCAAGTTAATAGAGATTTTTCCCACCTAATTTTTCAAGACATTTCACTAGTAATTAGAAAAATGTTAAACTATTGTTCCAAGGATTACAGTGGTTATATTGATGCTGTAGGCTAACATGTTTTCAAAGAAAGAACAGAGCACCATGGGTATTTAGTAAAACCGCAGAAACACATTTATTGATTTTTAAAAAGAATCAGTCATCAATTAGATTCAGTTAAGCACTGTGCTACATAAAAGCAATTCTAATTATGGACCCTGACATAGTCATACACAATCAATCCTTTTTATTGTTTGGTATATCTTCTCTATCCAGCACGCTGTTTTACCTAACAGCTAAACGTTCAGGACTTTGTTTCCTTACAACCCTAGCTATTTGATTATTAAAAGCAAACATGTGATCTAATTAATGTAAGTAAATTCTGATTTTCTCAAGAACAGAAATCTGAGAATCCACTTATAAATTTATAGCATAGTTTATATTTCTAAGTTTGCTAGAAACAAGTATACAGGATACAGGAAAATATGATTCATGCCAATATCAATAATAACATATAAAGGTCCAAATGTAGAGAACTATTTAAAAATTGCTGTTTTAATGTTCACTGTAATACTGATGTAGTGCCAACATTTTTGTGATTTCCTTGATTTTACTCTATTTATAAAGTACTTTAATGCTATTTTAAATCTCTTAATTTAAAATAATTTAACTGTTGTTACATTTTTATTTATGACTGTAAAATGTCATGATAATAATGTTTATTTTGTTAGATTTGTTTTGCAGTTAAAATGTGGAAATGACCGTTAATGTCAATTAATTTTTGGAAATTCAGCAGGATTGTATTACCATTTTAAGCACCAGAACCCTATGTAAACAGAGAAACAATTTGGTAGAGGGCAGTTTGATGAGAAAGCAATATACATCACAAGGATGAGGGGAACTTCACAAAAAATTATTTCTCCAATAATTATTATTCATTTTTAGACATTTTTTTTACAAAACCAACAATCATGCAATCCAATCTCTCTTTACAATTACAGTTAAATGACAATATAATTATAAACCTTCCAGAAATATAATTATCCAAATACCATCTTAAATGATTCTTATATAAGAAAAAATCCAATATATTGCTAATTAAAAAACGATTAAACCCATATAATATAACATATAAATAAACCAAACACTAAAACAACAAAACACATTCAGCACCTTGCTTTTTTAAATCCTACATAGATTTCATGCAGCCATAAACAATATAATAATTGGCTGATCCCCATGAATACCCAGGTACCCTCCAATATAGGCACACCAGCCAGTCACCCCCTCTTTAAAACAATAATCTGTTTAGGATTAATGAAGGTGGAGCTAAGCCAGCAGTAGCAAGCCATCTATTCAAAAATCTTTCAAATGTATTTGGGCAGTTTGTGTGTTGGTAAATTTGTGTTTATTTAGATAAAGTATGATTTATATGTATTTTCAGTTCCTCCAAGGTAGGGGAATAGGGGGATAACCATTTCTAAGCAATTAATTTGCAGGCTTGAAATAACACTTGAGTAATAGAGACATATGTATTTTCTAGTAAAGTAGCCTCTTCCACCATGTTCAATAAACATATCCCTAGATCTTCTGCTAAAGTAACCTAAAAAAATGATCTTATAGTAGTCAGAATCCCTTTCCAATATCTATGAAGTTTAGGACAAGTCCACATCATGTGGATCAGAGTGGCAGGGCCAACAAAAAATTCTTTAGTTTAATTTACTTTTTCTTAAAGTCCTGGGGTTACACACCCCTTCCAAAATGTAAAATCAACTTTATTGCTCAGTAAATGTATAAACATAGACACTGCACCCAGTATCCTACCTCTAACACATTTCACCCCCTACTGGGGCCTACTCAAAGAGCAAGAGGACATGAGGGAGGAAAATATTTTCATACCTTCTCCATGACAATTATCATTTGGTGCCTAAAGGTATACTCTCTTTTTCAAAAATGTCATTATAGCCAATATCACATTCATCCTCTCCCCCCTTCCTGCATTAAAACCAAAAAGTTTATTACAAATATTTAACCACTTCATTACCAGACACTTTTACCCCCTCCCTGCGGATGCCAATTTTCAGCTTTCAGTGCCGTCACACTGTGAATGACAATTATACAGTCTTGCAACACTGTACTAAAATTAAATTTTGAGAAAAATGTTTTCACACAGATTGAGCTTTCTTTTGATGGTATTTGATCACCACTGGGTTTTTTATATTTTGCTAAAAAATTGATACTGAAATACTGAAAATTTTGAAAAAAGTGTTTTTCTTTGTTTCTGTTATAAATTTGTTTCAAATAAACAATCTTTCTTCATAAATTTAGGACAGAATGTATATTGCTACATTTCTTTGGTGAAAATAAACCAAAATCAGTGTATATTATTTAGTCTATAGGAAAGTAATAGAGTCCACAAACTATGGGATATACAATAGCTCTTGCACTCTTTTATATATATATATATATATATTATACTATATTGCCAAAAGTATTGGGACACCCCTCCAAATCAATGGATTCAGGTGTTCCAATCACCTCCATAACCACAGCACCTAGGCATGCAGACTGTTTCTACAAACATTTGTGAAAGAATGGGTCACTCTCAGAAGCTCAGTAAATTCAAACGTGGTACCATGATAGGTTGCCACCCGTGCAAGTCCATCTTTGAAATTTCCTTGCTACTAATTATATTCCATGGTCAACTGATAGTGGTATTATAACAAAGTAGAAGCAACTGGGAACAACAGCAACTCAAGTGGTAGGCCACGTAAAATGACAGATCGGGGTAAGCGCATGCTGAAGCGCACAGTACGCAGAAGTTGTTAACTGTCTGTAGAGTCCATAGTTAAGACCTCCAAACTTCATGTGGCCTTCAGATTAGCACAACAACAGTGTGTGGTAGAGCTTCATGGATTGGGTTTCCATGGCCGAGAAACTTCATCCAACCCTTACTTCACCAAGTGCTATGCAAAGCATTGGATGCAGTGGTAGAAAGCATGCCACCAATGGACTCTAGAGCAGCGGATTACAGTCTATGTGTGCATGGACACATAAGATAACATGCTGGGGAGTTTACTGGCTGTAGAAAAAAAAACAACAAAAACAGCCGCTGTAAAAACATCCAGTGTGCATGAGGACAAAAAAAGAAAACATTATAAAATTTGAATTTTTTAAACTCAGGAAGTTTGGATATCAGACATTGTACAAATATGACATTATATAGACCTCAGTGGACACAGATAGCTATCTCCATTTTTCCTCTGCTGAAAAAGAGCAAGCATGAATCATGTTAACACACTCTAGGGAAGAACAGACAGAGAAGTAATTTGTATGTGACAATATATACTGTGAGAGTGTCCCTATACGAGTCCTCAGAGCACACCCTATCCCTACCAAAGAGATTATGTTGAAAAATTGTATGAGTGCCATTTTGAAAGAAAGCTAACGGGAAATAAAAAAGAAAATGGAAATATTTTACAGCCACGCCAGCCATTTCCCTGGAAGGCCTTCTCAGTGTCTTCATGTGTCCTGTAGGTATTAGTAGAGGGGAGTGCAGTGCTTTAGGCAAAAAGTATTTTGCCAGGAAATTTTGCAGAAAAGGAAAATTCATCGAGCACATTCACTCATTGAGCTGCTTCAGCAAACATTTCTTAAAAATGTGCTTTTTATTTATAGAGTTTTTATTTATTGTTGTTTGGGTAGTTTATTTAATCAAAAAGTTATTTTATACTTATATAGCTAGTATGGCTGAAAAAAGACAAAAGTCCATCCAGTTCAACCATTAAAAAAAAAAAAGTTATAATCCCACAGTTGATCCAGAGGAAGGCAAAAAAACACAGCAAAGCATGATCCAATTTACTCCTGTAGGGGAAAAAAATTCCTTCCTGATTTCCCAAGAGGCAATTGGATATTCCCTGAATCAACTTTACCTTTAAATGTTAGTAACCAGTTATATTATGTGTATCCAAGAAAGAATCCAGGCCTTTTTTAAAGCAATCCACTGAGCTGGCCAGAACTAACTCTTGAGGGAGTCTATTCCACATTTTCACAGCTCTGTGAAGAAAACTTTCCATGTTTGGAGATTAAATTTCTTTTCCTCCAGATGTAAAGAGTGCCCCCTTGTCCTCTGTGATGACCTCAGGGTGAATAGCTCTACACCGAGTTCACTATAAGAACCACTCATGTATTTATACAGGTTGATCATTTTGCCCCTTAACCACCTCCCACCCGCCATATAGTCCAATGACGGGTGCAAGGTGGTTCTCTCGTTCTGAGAGGATGTCATATGACGTCCTCCCATTCTCACCGCGCATGCACGGCTCAGGGAGCGTGCAGCGATCGGCGGAGCATTGTGTCCTTCGGACACAGCGGGTCACCGATCCACGGAAAAAGCCGAAGATGTCGGCTCGGTCATGTGATCAGCTGTGTCCAATCACAACTGATCACATGTAAACAGGGAAATGCCGGTTATCAGCATTTCTCTCCTCACGAGCTGTCACGCTGACAGCTCGAGAAGAGAGGAGAGCCTGTAATCGGCATTCCACGGAGGGGACATCTACACTGATCATCAAAGCGCTGATGATCAGTGTGCCCTGATGATCAGTGTAGCCCCAGCAGTGCCACCTGTCAGTGTCCATCAGTGCCAGCTGTCAGTGCCCATCAGTGCCACATCAATGTCACATATCAGTGCCTACCAGTGCACATCAATGTCACATATCAGTGCCCATCTGAGCCTCCTTTCAGTGTCACCCATTAGTGCCAGTCAGTGCCACCTATCAATGCCAATCAGTGCCACCTATCAGTGCTGCCAATCAGTGACACCTATCAGTGACATTCAGTGCCGCCTATGAGTGCCAGTCAGTGCCACCTATCAGTGCGCATCAGTGTCGCCTATCAGTGCCAGTCAGTGCCGCCTATCAGTGCCAGTCAGTGCCGCCTAACAGTGCCAGTCAGTGCCGCCTAACAGTGCAAGTCAGTGACGCCTATCAGTGCCATATATCAGTGCCATATATCAGTGCTGCCTTTCAGTGCCCATCAGTGATGCCTGTCAATGCCCATCGGTGCCACCTACCAGTGCCTCCTCATCAGTGCCCAGCAGTGCCACCTATCAGTGCCCATCACTGCAGCCTCATTAGCGCACATCAGTGAAGGAGAAAAATCACTTATTTACGAAATTTTATAACAAAAACTAAGAAAAAACATTTTTTTTTTCAAACTTTTCAGTGGTTTTTGGTTTGTTTAAGAAAAAATAAAAACCCCAGAGTTGATTATATACCACCAAAATAAAGCTCTATCTGTCTCAAAAAAATGATAAAAATCTCATATGGGTATAGTGTTGCATGACCGCACAATTGTCATTCAAAGTGTGACAGCGCTGAAAGCTGGAAATTGGCCTGGGCAGGAAGGGGGTATAAGTGCCCTGTAGGTTGTGGTTAATCTCCTCTTCTCAAGAGAGAATAAATTCAGTTCCTCTAATCTTTCCTTATAGCTGAGCTCCTCCATGCCTCTTATCAGTTTTGTTGCCCTTCTCTGTACTTTCTCCAGTTCCCCAATGTTCTTTTTGTGAATTGGTGCCCAAAATTGAACTGCATATTCCAGATGAGGTATTACTAATGATTTGTACAGGGGTAATATGATATCTCTCTCTGGTGTCTATACCTCTTTTAATACAAGAGAGGATTTTGCTTGCTTTAGAAACCACAACTTGGCATTGCATGCCATTATTAAGCTTTTGATCTACCAGAACCCCCAGATTCTTCTCCACCATTGATTCCCCCAATTGTACGCCCCCTACTATGTATGATGCATGCATAGTCTTAGTCCCCAAGTGCATAACCTTACATTTATAAACTTTTGTTTATGTTTTTTTCTGTTTTGTTGTGTTTAAGTCTCAACCAATATTAGTGTATTGCCACATTTTTTTACTGGCTTATATAAAAAAATACCTACAGTACATTTATGTGACAAATATTGTACCATTTTTGGTACAAGAACAAGTCCAGGATATTTGAAACGATCTTCCCTAACTCCTAGGAGCTATTTTTAAGCCCATTGCACAGTTGAAAACTACCAAATCACCTTAGCCTAAAAGTCCCTTTTAACATTAGGGGTCCCTCAAATATTTTTCCCTTTTTACATGAATGAGTACAGGGTACATAGTACCCTTTTTTACCTATTCACAAAAAAAAAAAAATCAAATAGTAAATAAACACAAAGACACCATAGTAAAAGTTCTATTTTTTAAAAAATAAATAAATAAACATTGTTCTCCAGTGCCTAGTGTCAATCATCTAATCCTAAAATGTGGATCTATGATAAATAATGCCCCATCAATCCGCCAAACAATGACCATGCCATAAAAATTATTTCCTGCTGGGCTCCCATCAAGAATGACCACTCCCTGGCTGGCTACTGAATGTGTAAAAACTGCCTGGGGATGCTGGCTGACAGAAAATATGAAATTCATGCTGACTTGTGAATAATCTGGAAAAAGACAGAGGACAACCAGAAGCTGTCATTTACTGGTGGCAGTAATACCTTTTGCAGCTTAAAGTTACTGATGCACTTCTGACAAAGGTTAGAGTGGATACCTGTTTTGACAGTAATCTCTCTGAGATCTCTTTACATCATTGATCACTGACAAAATATGGGATTTTCACCAGCTTGTGTACATTATGAAACAAGATGATGGGAATCCAGAACTTATCATCTAGTGGACGGGAGTGCAGCTTAAAGTCACTGAAGCTTTTCTAGAAGGAGTGGGAATAGGTATCTGTATTTGATAGTAATCTTTTTGAGATCACTTTAGAACATATGTGGAAGAAAAGAATAGTCTCTTCTTTTCTACGAAGAAAATTTTAATTCTACAAGAAGTAGCATTATAATTTAAACTTTTTTTAGATTCTCATCTGAGTAGTCATACAAATCAGTAAGTTCAGGTTTACTGTATATATGAGATAGACCAAAAGGGAATTTTTAACAGATGAAATTTGGGAGTAGAAATTTTGCAGCAACTAATGGTAGACTGAGGTGGGAAAAAAAAGCATATCTAGTCTCAATTGTTTAGGTATGGTAGATTTTGTCAAATCAAGAAGTATTATTCTTTCTAGCTTAGCCTTTAATAATTCAGATATTTTTATATACAATTGATGCTACATTATGCTATTTTCAGAAAGTCATTAAAATTGTTTAATGTTTTCCTTTATAGGACTTTGGGGGTATTGCAAAATAGATAATTCAGCAATAGTCAAGGGTTGAGGATCATCTTACAACACTACCATCGCCTTATGAGATCTGGTACGAAGCCAGCTATTTTGGTAAAAAAATCTGAGCCTAAACTTGTAGCTTTCCTTATAGAACTCATTTAACACATCTACCAATTTATACTTAAGAAAATATATATCAGTTTGAATGTGACCGGTGACTTTGGACAAGACAAGTACTTCTTTAGTAGAACATATGAACGAGTGACTGAATGGCTGAATTGTTCAATAGTGCATTTCTGGATGAAATAGAGTAAACTGTCCCAAATATCAGTGGGATATTATTTTGAGCCCAAAAGACAGCAATAGAAAAACGATCGGGAACACCAAAATTTGATTCTCCAACCCCAATGAACTCAGATCCATAGGTTGCACACCTCTGCCCTGGAGGTTGAATGGAATTACCTTGAATCATGTGCAATAATAGCTTTTACAGCCACTGAATTACATTTTGGTGAAAACATTCTAAAGTTATTGCAATTTCCTACTTTAAAGGCTTGTATTCTTACCAAAGGTAAAAAAAAAACACTCTTTTGTGCACTTCATAAATCATATGCCTTTCTGCTATATGAAGAAATCTGAAAAAGGTAAAGCTACATTTTATTATTGTTGCTTATATACACGCTGGTTTGTAGTGAATATACTTTTATCACAGATCCATTGCAAAGCCTCAGAAAAACCTGTCAACTATATGTGATGAATTATGTGGCAACAAAAAAGGAGAGTTAACAACACTGAAGGGGAAATAATGAGTCTGAAGTAAAAGCATAAGGACAGAACTGTGTTATCTTTGGACAGTTTCAAACTCCTGCATATATTGTAAAGCTATTTATAGGCTCCTTGCTATAGAATGGTATTATATACAAAATAATACATTTTAAGAAACATCAAGACATGTGAGAATAAGAAATCAATTCAATACAAAAAAAAAGGTACCTACTGTACATTTCAGCAAAAAATACATTGCCATGGATCGTGAAAATGTTATGAAAATGAGTGTAAGAGTGCTGTCACAATTTTTGAAGTGCTAAAAACAGGGCAAATAAAACTACTTTGGTTAGCACTGCTTTGGTTTTTCCTGGTTTTGGAATACTTTCTTTAGAGTTGGATACAATTGATACAAGTTGTTCTCATTCTTAATTCTAATGTTTGGACTGCGTCAGTGAATTACAGTTTTTGTTTAATACATTTTATTTAAATGTATACAAATATAGTGCACAAAGAGATAGAACATAAACAAATAAGTCAGTGACAGTGTACAGATACAATACAAAAAGCGCAATTTCACTAGGATCAGAAACGAGGGACCAATGCTTCAAAGAAAACAACGCTTACAGTATAACTTCCTAATTCCACCATTGCAGCAATTCTGATTAAATTAATACAGAGTGTGGGAAGCAAGGAAGGATGGAACCCAAAAAATTGTGATCCCCGGGAATTAAAAAAAAAAGTGTACACCAAAGAACTGACACAAGTCATGTACAAATCAGTTTTGTGCACAGAATGGAATTAAAGGAGGAAGGGGAAGCAAAATGAGAACAAACCATGGACACCCACAATCAGAAATTAAGTATGCTTGTTCATGAAGTAAGCAATCTTTCAGAGGATCTTTGATTTTTGTCCAGAGAACAATTTTTGATGAAATCAGTAATCTGCATATATTACAAAAAGTGCTGGACAAGCTGAACTCAGGGACCAAGGTATGAAAGAACTTTGGATCACCAGATTCCACATCATATAAGGATGCAACCCAAGGTAACCCCTGAGATCTCCATGACAACAAAGCTTCTTCTTGTAGGCTTTGAGGAAATATAGGATTGCCATGGATGGGCAGGAATCTAGAAATATAAGGGGATATCCCCAGCTTTTTCTGTATTTCCCTCCAGGCGATCGGTGTCCCAAATCAAGAGATTATGTTGCATGTTCCCAGGGAGCATTTTGAGCTTACTGTGCTGGAGGGCAGAGAGGTTGAATGGCGATGCCATTTCAGACTCCAGAGTATAATTAGAATGATTTGAAGTTTGCATTAGGCAGTCTAGGATTATCCTTAGAAAAAAACAGGATTATATACTCATATATTGTGTGGCATTGTTTCAAATGAAAATTAACAATGTTCTATTGAGTTTTTGTAGATCTTTGTGCTTAAAGAAGAGTGGAATCATCTGGAGTGAGTACAAAATATGTGAAAAGCTAACCATTTTAAAGAGGTGGCATCTCCCAGAGAGTGATATAGGGAGGTCCATCCATGCTTCCAATTCATCCACTATCTTCAAAATGAAAGCAATATAATTCAGAGAAGAGGTACAGAGAGTACAGAAGGAGGGCTCCCTACCTATCCTGATTTACAGAAGAAAAGGGACAAAGAGAAGATTTATAGGGAGCCAGTGGAAGAACGTCACTCTTTAAAAATTAATGCATAAGTCTGAGCAGAGGTGAAAAGTGGAAAAGATCTGTTGTATGGTGTGTGTGTCTGCGAGGGGGGGTAGATGTGACTATTAGAATGACACCTGCAAAAAGCGCTGTGTGGAGGTCTTCCTATTCTATTTTGACACCATGGATAGGGTCTAAGAAGCTTAGATATTGGGAAAGAGGTTCTAGTGTTAGATTAAACAGAAAAGGGGAGAGGGCAGCCTTGTCTTGTTCCTTTATGTAACGAAATACAGTCAGAAATGTTACCTGCCACCACTATCCTAAGTGAGAGCAAGGAATACATACTACCAATAAAGTGTTGAAATTGACCCAAAAAAATCTAGATGATGGAGAAATAAAGACAGCCACTGAAAGTTGCCATTATTAACCACTTAAAGCCCACCCACAGTACATTTACT